TATAGAGCCTTGTATACGTAGGTATGCTTGTAGGTACGTGAATGCATATTTTGCAAATGTTTTTCAACCCATGGATATGGTAGACTTCGAGGTCTTTTTGCGTTCTTGAGGTTTTGACTTTTAAATGCTTTTCCTCATTAAAATCATAAAATTGAATGAGTAGCCCACACAATGAGATGAGTTGCATACACAAAATGAAAAAAATTACAGATTTATGGTAGCAAGAAAATTGGAAAATATTGCATTTCCAATTATTGAGCGCCGCAATTACGTTAAAATGGGTGAAATGAATGATTAACAACAGTCAGAAGAAGAGCATTAAAGGAAAGCGCAAACACATAAACCAATCTTCATATGTGAATATTCGCAGAGCTTCAGTTGCCTTTACAAGCGGCATTCTTCATTCAGTACATACATTCATACCTAAAAGCATATATATGTATAAATAAATGTACGTACATATATACGAAATGACGTCTGCATGTGCCAGTGGCGTTTAGAGGTGGAGAAATTCCGATGTTTGCTACCATCGATATTTTTGATGTTTTAAAGCAATACATCGATTTGAAATCGATTGTTGTGAAAAAATAAGGCGTTCAAAATGGAGCTTAAGTTGGTACCTTAAGTTAGTTGTAGCGTTTTTGACATACATATAACCCCTTAAAAATTATGTCAAAAGGCCGCGAGTAGCTTAAAGTGTGAACTTAATTTTGGCTATGAAATAAAATAAATCAAAAATGTATTTTGTGGATTTATTTCCTTCCATGCAGGTAATATATATGTATGCATTGCAAATTTGAACCATATCGGACCATAAAAATGGGTTTTTCAAACAACTCTAAACCTGCGCCATCTGGTGGATCAATTCGTCTTTCATATTACATTGTCATTGGATTTTGCGCTAATACAAGTAGATTATCCTCATTTCCGAGTTTAACTGCCTAATCTGTAATTAGAAAAAGATATTAGCCATACAAAATTCGTCGCTCGTTAATCTGTAATTATAAAATTATCTCAGATCAAACCGATAGCTTTTCGATGTCCAACTTATTTTGATTTTTGTTTAGAAAGAAGCTAATTTTATTTCATTTTACATGCGCAGAGGTGTACAAAAGAAACATCGATAGTCGCCATCAACCATCGATGTCTAACGAAAATGCAAAAACATCAATGCATCGATAGTGCCATCGATGTTTTCTTGTTTTTTCCACCTTTAAAGGCGATGTGGTGCCGGGAGTTTTTTATGCTGCACGCATCATAAATGAATTTTACGAGTAGCTTTTATCTTTACGACAATACACATATACATACATACAAACTTGTAGATTGATGTATGCGCGCATTTCAAAGTGACTTCAACTGCTATATGTAGAGTATGTAACCTAAATGTACAATATACATAGACATGTATGTACGTACAAACGAAGGTCGTACGATAAATCAAAGATAAATCAAAGTTCTCGACTTTCTTATTCGTCCAAAATCTTTTACCATTAAACACTTTTATTTTGATTTAGAAGAGTACGAAATATTAAGTGGGGTATAAATCGAAAAAAATTCTGCTTAGCATAGCTTTTCATAGCCCAAATTAAGCACTTGTCAGCTCAGAATGTCTTACTTTTAATTCTCTTCGAAATAAACGAGTTTGCCCGCTTTCCATTGCTACCAAACACGCGCTTAATGATAAGCTTGCTCTAAATTTGACAATAGTCAATAACATAGGAAAGCTGACAGTAGCAGTGTTAAGTTTAAGGTAGCGAAAAACAAAAAAAAACAAAGGTGCGGAGTTATCAAACTGCCCTCGTAATATAAACGCTTTCTTGCTACAACATTGCAGTTAACTCACACCTTTTTCGCTATAAAGTTAATGAGAACTGTTGACGGTAGGGAGAAAATACTTAAACATGTACATGTACATAGATATTTTTATCTTCATATAAAATGTCAGTTAAAGGCAAAATTGGCGCTTAACCTGAACAAGAGTTGGGTGTGTTTTTAATGCTTAAGCTATTGCCATATCAAGTACGCTGATGCCATCATTTAATAAAAAATCATAAATTTACGTTAACTGTAGTGGTCGACTGCCTGATATTTTCTCTCAAACTGAATTTCATAATGAGAAATTTGAGAGTTTAAACATGTTGGCTGCTGAGCGACCAGAAAAACTTGCCAGGTACATAATTTTGATATATCGCCAAGCTGATTGCGAAAAACAACAGCCACAGAGCCAGAATTAACAAAACGACAACTCGTATCTTGGCAATTATTTATTGCAAGATAGTGAAAATACATATTCTTAGTGTGCTAAATGAGAGAAACCACTGTGTTGTGGCAATGTTTTAAAATTAGAAGAAAATATTGTAAGTAAATTCCCTGACCTAAATGGTCCATTGTTGGAAATCTCGACAGATATCCTCAGTACCAAAATATACGTCTATTTACGTACATTGGTGCTGAAAAAATAACGAGTTTTATATCATAACCTTCATTTTGAAAGTCTACTTTGATAGGGGTTTGTGGGTTTATAAAACTTTCTTCCTAGCTGAGTCTTAAAAACAGCCAAAACCTAAATTTTTTCCTAACTTTGTTATTTTACACTCGACTGTAGTGATATAACCTTGAAAATATATATTTGAGCACAAAACATCTTTCAAGAATCTCATCGACTTAGAGTGTCTGCTAAGCTTATTAATAATAAATCACTTTCTACCGCACTAAACAGAAGTTTGCTCTTCATAAAATAAAACATTTTTGTAAAATTGTTTTAGTTAAATTTCAAAAATTCCTACATCGAGTGACCAACCTGTAGTCATTGAACGTGCTGTTCAATGTGTGATTCCAACATATTACTTACTTCAATTAAATTTTATATCCTTCTACTGTATATCACTATAAATATCATCTAAACTAATAGTAAATCCAATGCTAGGTTGCTTCAATCCGTTCATTCACTCAATTTAAACATTCATTCGATATTCTCACTTCATCATTAATTAAACAAAGTCATTCAAACACATATCACTCAAAAATTGTTTGAATACAAATGAAAATAGCTTTTAAAATGAAGGCGTACGAGTAAATTAAATAACAGAAACAGAATAGTAACCCTGCAGGGAATAGGGCAAGTTTGTAACTAAATTACCCAGCGGTCTAATAGTTGTAACTTTGTACTGATTTCCTTCGGCCGTAACTAACTAATTTTGAAGAGCGATGACCGCAAGAAAGTTAGAACTGGTTTTCTCTACATTAGGTCTCAACTAACTTTTAACTAACTACTTTAATACTGGAAAATTTAACTATTAAAAACAAAAAAGGAATTCCAAGATCACTCTTTAATAAATGACTATAACTTATCATCCGATCAAGGTGCAGGGACGTTATTTTCAGGGATTGTAGTCGAAAATCCCAGCCTTAATTTAATCCTTTAACCTTTTGTTTTATCTTCTAGAGCTTCTCAAATATTGCAAAAACGCGTTTTTTGCCTCTTTTTTCTCAACATCTGTAGCTGGTGGAAACTTTTTATTTACGGATTCTTAATCAGCACCAAAAAGTCTATCAAAAACAGCTTTAACCCTTGCCACCCCAAATTTGTTTTTCCATTTTTGTTAGGCTGTGTGATTGTTTTCTGCAGGGAACCTAAAATTTCTAAATGTTGAAATGTTGAGCCTGAAGAAGTAACTCATACGCCATGGCATGCCAGCAATTTAGACTGTCAGCCAAGTAGTTGTATTTCAAAATCAACGGCAAAACGCATGCGCGTGATTACTTGCCTGTCTGTCTAAGCTACTCGGTCGACAAACTTATGTTCACGCTATGTCACAATTTGAAATAGGGTTATAAATAACAAAAATAGACAAAAAGTCTAAACATCTAGTCTAAAATAACGTACAGTAAAAAAAATACGAGAAAAACTCTCTGGAGTTTTATTTAAATAAGTGTGACAATCACAAAGCGGAAGTAATTTCCTATTTATTTTTTTTTTACACTGTAACCAACTAAGAGATTTTATTTTTGTCGAGTCCACCAAAGTACGCCAGAGGAAGCCTTCCTCTTCTCTGTTACCAGCATCGTTTGAAGGCTGACATTATTATTGGTGTTAATACTGGTTCCTTCATAAGCTAAACGGTCCACTTTATCTACATTTAAATTGTCCATGTTAGCGGCTCCAAGAAGGCAATACTTTGATGTTTATTTGATGACAGGAAATACCTCGTCTTGTACTCGTTTACCACCAGACCCATTCGGATTGCTTTCTTATTGAATAAGACAGTACAGATTGTTTGTTTTTCTTCAGCCGAAAGGATGTAGTTTCCTGTTAAAAACTTTTTTAAGTCGCATAACTACCTGACCCGCACTGCTGACCCAAATTCCATTTAGACTTAAATATTCAATTTAATAACATGCACGTTTCACATCGCAGATGAAAATTAACAACATTTTATTTTAATTTTAATAAAGTGAAATGTCCAAAGTATTTTCATACACATTTTCAAGCAGGATTTTCCGCCAGAAATTTTCCTGATTCAGGTGGCGCAGTCTTAGCAGGCAATATATATTTTATATTTTAGGTGAAGTGTGCAAACGAATTTAATAAAACAAGCGCATTTCTTACTGTTTTTTTTTTGTAATACATTTTTGTTATTATTTCTTAAACTTACTAACTGAAAATGAAACAAAAAACTGACAAGTAAATGCTCCCAAAAATGTACATTACTTAATTCGGCGCTTAATTAGAAACGCGGCTGCAAAATATGTATTTGCACTGGTCGTATTGCTGACCTTAATACTGGTGTGTAGCGCCCAGCTTTTTTCAACACAAAATGAAGAAAATATACGAAATGCGCAAAATGAAAATCGGCATTTACACTTCGACAAATAGCCTCAAACCCCAACCCAGCAATGAAAACATAGCGCGCAACTTCAAATGCATATGGTAAAAATTGCAAAAATCAACAACAATTCGTAACATAACTGAAAGGTCTGCGAATAATTAAACTCACCTGTTGTCCGGAATGGAAAACGAGAGCAACGCTGTTTTCTTGTTTTCCTTTTTGCTTCTGCTGCTCTTCACACACGCGCACACAATTTCAAAACTCTAGTCCAACAAGCAATTGTGCAATTGTGGTCGTTGCTGCACTAGCACTGGCAGCTGTGCTCGAATAAGTTGGGGTGGCGGTGGGAACTTGTAATTGCGTACGTTTTGCACCGCTTTTTGTTAACGTTCTGTCCGCCCCTCGTTCTATCGTTTCGTTCGGTCGACTTCAAATTTACATCAACAGTTGATGCTTGGTATTCTTTGTTCTTGTTGGTTTGTTAATGGTTCACATAGCCTTTGCAACTGGACTGGAACTGTAATATACAAAATAAAAAGGCATAAATGCATACACCATATATGCTAGTATGGAAGTAGGTAAGCAAGACGCAATGCAATTTCATTTTTTTTTTTTTTTGCAGATACTTCATAAATGAGAAATCAGTGCAAAGTAGTTAACGAGCAAAGCTACCCTGCAGGAAGCGATGTTAGATTAAATGTTACCTTAATCTGTTTACACCAGGGCTGTCTATTTGTGGATATTCCTGCATTAGGTGTCAACTTATATAAAATATCAATAAGAAACAATTTACTTCATTTTTTAAGTTTCTTACAGGTGCAGTTATTTCATTTTTAATGTTAAATAATTATGCTGCCCATGATACAAAGAAGAAGGTAGTTTCAGTTTGAAATTTTTTGACATAAGCTGTGTTTATTTACGTTTATATTTTTCGTAAATTGCCCAATTGACTCTGCCACCTCAATAAGTTATTGTTTAGGAAAATCATATATGTTTTAGGAATTTTTATGCAATAAAAAATAGTAACACATAAGGTACATTTACTCGTTCCATCCTATCCGCACACCTGTATAATAATAAATGTGAATTGATTTAAAATTTCGTTCAAGTAGGGCAAAATAATTTATATATATCCGCGCGATCAAGAGATCGATGCAACCTACGATCTTTCGAATTTCTAGGCCAACTCTGCCTAAGTGGGATCGTAAAAGGTTGCAAACAATTGGCGCTCTACAAGTAAATACACAGAACGGCTCAAAGTGCCTTACCATAGATGCAAAAATTATGAAAAGGAGGAGATAGTTATCCATATTCTCTGTAACAGTCCGGCATTATCGAGGAGCAGATAGTGTTTTCTGAGGTTTCTTTTCATTAGTGACCTTGAAAAATTGGGAGATATAAGCCCTAGGTGTCTGACGTGTTTCGCAATGTATTTAAAATGGTTTAGCATATTTTTACTAAAAATCATATCTCCCAAAAAATATTTAGCTGCTACGGATTCAGCTCGATTGTACTGCAAAGTAGCAATTTTATTGTGAAAAAGTATGAAACAAAAAAAAAAAACATAATTTTTGCAAAATTTTATTCAAAAAAATTTGTCATAAACATAAAGAAAAATTTTTGAAAAATAAAACTCAATAATTTTACTATTAGATATATCTTGAAGTAGCAACAATTACTAACATTTGAGTGAAAAAATGGTTTACATCAATTATTTTTAGCAGAGTTATAACAATTTGATTTTTATCTAACATAAACAAAATAACTTATAAGTCGCGCAACAAGTTTTTTCGACAAAAAAAAATATGGTTCCCATTATTTGGACCAACAAAAAACATAACTCGAATAATGCCCATACCTGTTCGGTTGTCTTGAAATGGAAAGCATTTTTAGCGTTATCTGTATTGTTACATGAAATATTCGCACTTATTGCGAATTGCATTGGAACCAATTTTCCCATGAATTATATAGTAAAACAAAAACAACGTTTCTCGGTAACATAACATAACATAACATAACATAACATAACATAACATCAAAATGATTATACAAAATTTCGGTTTACATTTTATCTATTCTGGGCTGGAAAAATTATCCGTGAAGTCCAGAAAAAAGTATGTTCGAAGTAATTTTTGTATGAGAATATTAAAGAAGAAACATGCTAAAAGGATACAAACAGCCGATTATGTCTGCATGAGTTTACTACTTCCTTTAAGTTGGTTTTGTCATAGCTAAGTAAAGGTGAGATATTTATGGAAAACACGCAAAAAAGCTAGCTACACGTTTTTATTTTTTATTTTTGTCAATTGATAATTTTTCACTGCAGGGTACTTATATGTACATATTTATGTATGTGTCTATGTTTGGACTATCTGCTCACTTGCATGCGTTTTTCAGAGATTGTTCACCTTTTTTGCTCGGCTAATTAAGCGATAAGCCAGCAACAGAAGTAGTCACATTCAAATCTGTTTGTATGTACATTTGCAATATACATACATACATGGGAGGTGTGCTTCCTGCCATGCTAAATAGGCGTTGTTGAGTCTCTTAGTCATTCTTATCTCAGATTGTGAAACACACGAGGGTGCCTTAAGGAAGGCTTTTTATTTACTCTTGCACGTATACACTTACACAGTTTTGTTGTTGCTTAAATTGTGGCAAACATGTCGGGCACGTTGGGCGGTAATTGCCGGCTAAGTGTTCAGCTAGAAGGCAACCGTTTATGAATGAGATTGGTATGAAAAATGAAAAGTGAAATGCAGTGAAAAAATTACTGCTTTTAATGATTGTAATGACATCTGCAAATTTGTAGACTCTTTAAGTGATGTACGTAGTAGATATGACATGAATTATGCCTTATGGAGGTGGCATTTCTTGTGAACACCAGGAGGTGTTGGAGGAGAAGTTTGGCCCAACTCTACCATAATTTACGACAGGAAAGGGGGTAGTGCATTAAATTTTCAGTTAAATGCATATTTTCCTAACACCCTTTTCGTAGTGAAACTCGTGAATATTCTGCTTCTTGTTGATTGGCGCTGTATCCGCCTAAGCGATTTTGGTCGGTCCAACAAAGTACGCCAGCCGTTTGTCGACTACACTGATCTAAGCGATATTCCAGCTACTGCTAGCATCCAAACGTCTCTTCCTATAAGGGTGGAGTCAAATGAACTCTAAAGGAATCGAATGGATATCCTGCAAACACGTTCGGGGAAACCCTAGTATGGTAACGCCGTACAACGAAGAGCCTTCAACCCAGTAATTAATAAGATAGTAAACTTTGTAAAAATAAACCTGGCCATAAGGACGTTTAAGCCCTACAAATCTCCGGGGCCAGCGATATATTCACCGCAACGCTTTCAAATGGTACAAACAAAATTATTAAAAAAATTATAAAAATCTTTAGGTATTTCTCTATCATAGGTATCTATCGTAGGTGTAATGGAAATGTGTTTTGCATCAAAGGGTATTGCCTTCTGTTCATTCATGGATATTGACAATCCATGGGAGTGGCACCCTCCAATAGAGATGCAAAATGTTTACCCAGAGGACAATCGCAGGGAACCTAGAAGCAGAGTAACTCAGCAATAAAAGGTTGTCCACAGGAGGAGGTGTTATCTCAACCATTGTGGTCTATACTGGCTGATGAACTAGTTCAAGTCCTTAATGCGAACGGATGTCAAAACGCAGGCAACTCTGATGATTCATCAATTGTCATCAACAGCGGCCATGAAAGGCCCTTTAGGGACTTGATGCAGGACGACATAAACATAACTTAGAATTGGTATAGGAAGGAAAACTACAGTCATCCCTTTCACTACAAAAAGGATGCTATGCTTTCCAGATCTAAACATAAATGGTCTAAACATAAAAGTCAAATTTCTAGGCATAACCCTAGATAGAAAACTAATTTGAGAGTCACATCTCAACTCTATTATCAACAAAGCTACAACATATTTGTTTACCTCTAAACAGCTTCTAGGAAAAAGATGGGGGCTGAATCTCAAAATGACTTTCTGGGTTTATACTTAGTTGGTCAAACACATTATATTGTATTGGACATTCGTATGATGAAAAAGATCATTCAACTAACTCAATTAAAAATCCATCGAATTGCATGTCTATCTGTACTAGAGACAATGATAATTGTACCCACTGCAGGCATTGAAGCCCTGCTCAATCTTACGCCCCCTCATGTGGCAATACAAGAGGAAGCAACAGTGCAAGCCCTCATGTTTAATAGGAAAAATAAATTCAAACAAGGCAACCTTGTCGGTCACCTGGAAATCTTAAAGCGAAACCCTGTTCCTAGACCAAATTTATGCCATCCCTAGCTCAACGAAGCGTTATAAAATCATACTTGCTAGTCTTGAAGATTGGAACTCGATATTGGATACGTACAAAAATATTAGGGGTATTCTCGAAGTCTTGCAAAGCTCTTACTTGATGCACGGTTGGCAAAGCTGTCCCATAGGAAATCCGGTTTTTACCATACGTGCACCGCTCAAGGGCTTTGCAAGACTTCGAAAATGCCCCTATTCTAAAAACACACAAAAATTTCCGAGCGGATCACTTATAATAACCGCACTTAGGTGCACGGCAATCCTTCCGGCTGTTCCAAGTAAACGATCGATACTTAAGTAAACTGCTAGATATCTGAATATGATACATATTTGTTTTAAAAGTTGTCTAGTATATTCCTCGAATATAAAATATAGACATAGAGTCCTTGTTATGGCTTCCCTTTTCAGTTTAATGTACCAAACCTTCACAGAATTTACAACTATACGCTCTGGCACATTACAGTTTATACCGGGCTTTGTATTACAAAGGCCCTTCTATATAATGCTATCGTTGGATTTGTATAAAACTTAATATACATCTAATACGCTGGATTATGCTACCTTACAGCCAAATTTTAGATATAAATCCATAAGTGGGTACCCAGGTACCCCGGTTGAACTACAACGTTAATTAATTTGATTGAGCACACTAGGGTTAAGAGATTTTCTCTTTTCAAAGAGTCTGAGCATTTACATTTAATCTTAACCAAGATTCTATTTCTCTCAAAAGGTCTTATAAGAATCTTAAATTCCAAGACAAACCACCGCCAGTGATTTCTACATACATCCAGCAGTTGCAGCATGCTAAAGAAAAAAAAAATGCAAGCAACATGCGCAGCCGCATGCCGCAGCAAAGTTTCGACAAATATTAGATCTTACACGATGCCATTCAGGAGTCGTAAAATGTAAATTCTCAGGGTAATTAAGATTTTGCGAACATGCTGGCGTGTTGCAAGAACACATTGTGGCAGGCACGCCCATATACAGTACATGCGACAAGTATGTATGTACATACAGTGAAATTAGGAAAGCAAACGGATAAAGGAAGAGACATGCTGCTGTTACTGCCACTGCCGCCACTGCCAAGACAAACAACAGCCAACAAGGCAGGCAGATAAGGTGGCGAAAGCCAAGAAAGATGGCAACAAAAAAAAAAGAAAACATTTCGAATGGCAAA